GGTTGTAGTCGAGGCTAAAACACAGGAATCTATGCTAAAATGTTTAATGTGTGACACTCTTAAGAATCGCTTGCGTTTAATGTATGCTGCATTTGCTTCCTAAATAGCTGAAGTAATAGCAATTTAGCTGGTCTTCATTATGGTGCTTCAAATGTTCTTTTTTTCTGTTCTTAAAACTCGGAAATTGTGTCTTAGGAAAAAAAAATGACGACGGGATAAGAACAACTCAGGTTTGTACAGTTCTACTGCACGTCAGCTATTGCTTTCAGTGCTCAGCAAGAGATCCATAAATCTTCCACAGAAACTTTTAACATATTAAATATTTAACTGGGGGTCCTATGACAGACCACAGAACCCTAAACCACCATCACAGACTGACAGATCCAAACAAGAAGAGAGGAGTAGAGATAGATTGGTGTAATTTGTAACTAGAAGCCAGAGGCGTGGATTCTGCACTGCTGGTGAGAAATTCCAGTAAGATCACAGTTATTGACAGAGAGGGCGACCTTTTCTTTGGTCTACGATGCATGTTTGTGTGTATTCACAAGGTTGTGTGTGGTTTTATTATTGTGAAATAGTTTTCCCATCCATTGGGTATTAGCATGAAAAAAGTGAGAGGTCCACTTCATTCTGCTGGGGGCTTTTGTAGTTGCCAAACATGTAGCTTCAAAAAGAGAAAAAAAGATGGATCCTCATGCAAACAGAGGAGCTCTGTCTGAAATCACTGTTGGTCAGCACCCAGCAGTCATCTGCAGAGATTTGTTTCCATGTTCAGGCAGCTAGGTTCTAGTTTAAGTATGAAATTCATACCGCAGACCAAAAGTATGTCTCACTTCACTCTGGTTTCCTCTGTCTATCCACTCTGTAAACTTTCCTCCTCCTTTCCTCTGATTCTCACTCAGCTCCTTTTCTTCCCATAAACTGTCAACCACCTTGTTATTTAAAGTGTTTCCTGAACATGAATAATAACAGCTCAGCATTAGTATTTCATTTGCTTTCTCTTGGTGTAAAGGAAGCTGGCTGTATGAGGAACTCGAGTTTCTAATCAGGTCATTTGAAACAGTCAAAATTATGAAGGTTCAGATGAAATCAAAAACTCTTACGTTCCTCTGTATCTTTCCTATACATATGTAGGAAATGTATATTTTTTTGTGTTTATAAAATGGAGACAGAATTAATTACAATGGTCAAATTTTGGGTTAGTAAGTCAAAACAATGTTACTGTATCAAGGAGAGGAGTAAATATTATGAAGATAAATTAGTCTCAAAAGTAGTCACACAAGTTTACAACAAGATTTGTACGCACACAGTAGGATCCATAAGCATACCACAAGTTTTACAAATGCGTACTATAGGATTCACAAATACATAAACAGTTTTTTTAATGTACACATTTCAAATTGCACAGGGAGATATTCTGCACACACAAATTGTCAAATACGCGTGCACAAGTCGCCTGCTGCAGATGGATCAGTCAACACAAGTACACAGATCAGAGTGAATGTGACTTTTTGAGACTTTCTTACCACTTCAGATTCACAAAGGTAATGCTGCGTTCAAGGCTGGTGAATGGCTGGGACATCAGAGCTTTACAAAATTCACAGAGTTATTGGGAAAGACACATTTCTATCTTGGTACAGTAAACTAAACCAGTAAACTAAAATTCATGTGGAAAATTTATCAGGAAAAAAATATATATCACTGGAAAACATATATTTTTTAAAGAAGATTAACCAACTTTTTATGTTTATTTCAGCTGTATTGTTCACAAAATTAATATTTTCTTCTTGTGGAAAAACTGGAAAAGTATGAATAATATATAATATAGAGTCGCAAATTTATAAAAACAAGATACAGGATGGTAAAAATGCTTGATGTATTTAGTTAAATGTGTTGATTTTACAATTGATAGCAGTGGTGGGGTGACACGGTGCATCAGTTGGTAGAGCTGTTGCCTCTCAGTGAGAAGGTCACCAGTTCATATCCCAGACCAGGACTTTTCTGGATGGAGTCTGCATGTTCTGCACCAGTGACGTCCCGTGACCCGAAAAGGAAGAAGCAAGTAAAGATAATGGATGGATGGATAGCAGTGGTGCAATTCTTTCTTTTGATATTTCTCACTTCACTATAGGATAACTAGTATCAGCTTCTTTTCACATTGATTTTAAAACATTCAAGTCTAAAAAAGGAAACATTATGTTTAAAATTCTAATAGTTAAATCATTGCAAGGAAAACTTTATCATTTTAAAACGTGGAACTGTAAAACCATAACTGTAAAACTACACTCGAAATGGCACATAGTAGGGATTAATTTGCCTAAAGCCTGTCTTCTCGTCAAAGAAACATCAACTGTGTTGAGGGACCAACCGATGATAAGCTGTCTCTATTTTCACACGTATGAAAGCACTTTACTTATAAATCATGAAGCAAGTCGCCTGCAATCCAAATGTATGGTGGGCAATTCCCTATGTCTCCATATTTGTCTCGATCATTTTACACTGTCCTGGAATGGCTCAAAACTTTGAAATAATTTGTTTTACTCGAGGTCTAAAAAAAATGATGATTTTTTTGGAACTTACACATTTGCAAATAAACACGTCATAAAAATGATTTTTTTAATGTATTTTATTCAAGCTTAATTTGTACAGGTTGTCTCACTGAGCACGAGGACTCTTTTTCAAGAGAGACCTGTTTTAGACAGACACCATATAGATCATTTACAACATATAGAGTATAGACAATAATATACAGCAATAATAGATGTAAAAAAAACAATAGAATAAAAACAATAAAATCAAAGTGCAATACAAACAAGGTAAAATATTAGAAACAAGAACATATTTGATTAGATTTTTCTAATAACCTTATCAAATGATAAATTATAAAATCAGTATTCAGATACAAATTTTCTTTAAGTTGCTTGCATTGCAGTGGATTTCCACACAAATCTGAACTGTTTTATGTTTGTTTTCCAAAAGGTCACAGCAGTACCTACAAAAGTTACTGAACAACTGTTGAAACTGGGTTCTGATTGTTCCTCAGAAGGCATAAGCGTTTTGAAAATAAATGTCTTGTAAATGATTTCTGATAGGAATGTAAACATAAATCAGATGACAGCCGTAGAAAAAGTCTTTGGAAAAAGAAAAACGCTACATGGTGTGATTTATCTATTTTTTTCTTTTGACAATTTATTCTGCATCAAATATATTTTTTATCAATATATTATAAACAAAAATACCATGAAAATTGATTATTTACATATTAAACTTCTAAAATATATACATATTTTGCCTCTTGTATTCATGTTTTTGCATGTGTGGTGAGCCAATAAAATTAGCACAAAATCGCTAATAAAAATTAAATGCAACCCTGTGGGTCCTGGTGACTGGAGAGTTGGGTAAACGTCTGTTTTCACAGCTGGAAGGTAAAACTCTGTCTGGAAAATTTCAGCCAGAGCCATAAACATAACTTCCTCTTTAGGTGAAGGACTGGGTAATGGAATTTTTTTTTATGGTAGTTTTAAAGCCCAGTTGTACCTATTTATATCAAAACTGAAATGTTGTTTTGAAATTCAACTAATGCAAACAAAAAGAGTAAAAAATACACAAATCATGTTTATGTTTTATGTAATCATATTCCATGTTGATGTACTGTATACTATCAAGCAGAAATTAAACATGTACGCACACACCAAACATATATACTTGTGTGTGTGTGTGTGTGTGTGTGAGTGAATTTTTGTGAGTGGGACAGGTGAAGTACCCACACCTGCCTCTACCCTTGTTTGCCACACTCTGGGCCATTGAGCAAGGCACCCCCCCGCCCACACACACACAGTGCCTTACATGCAGCTCTCCACTCCATACAGAGGGCTGTGGTTGCTCCAGGAAAGGTTCAAACTATTGTCAAGTCTTTGTGCGAGTTAGTTCACTGACCCCTAAAGAAGGGAGCAGCCTAAAAAAAAATAAAAAAAATTTAAACAATGAATTCAATGCAAGTTTTAGATTTTTGCGTTATTCTTTATTTTGCTGTGAATCCATTTTTGAGTCGCTTAACATGGGGAGTGATGCATTGGCTCAGTTGGTAGAGTTGTTGCCTCTCAGTGAGAAGGTTGTCAGATCGAATTCCAGCTGGGAATCTTGCTGAGTGGAGTTTGCATTTTCTCTCAGTATGTGTGGATTTTTTCAGAGTACTTCAGTTTCCTCCCACAGACCAAAAACATGCATGTTAGGCTGATTGTCATCTAAATCGTCCCTATGTGAGAGTGAGAGAGTGAATGGTTATTTGTCTTGTTTGTCTCTATGTGACCCTGTGATGGTTTTGCAACCTGTCCAGGGTGTCCCTCGTTTCACACACTGACTGCCGGATATGGGCAGGAGTGACCCTCGTGACCCGAAAAGGAAGAGCCAGGTAAAGATAATGGATGGATGGATGAATGCCTAACATGGACATAAAATACAAAATCTATCACAAAGAAGTCAGATTACAGTATACTTAGTAAAAAAGTGGTATTTTTCATGCAGGTACATCTCTAGAGTAAGATGAGCCTCCTATATTTTTTGTAAATTCCTGAAAATGCCCTTGAATGATTTTTGTTTTTATCGGACTCATTTCATTTAGCCTTTTAGTGCCGATGTAATGTCTCTCGACTTCAACAAACTGTCTATGCAATGAAAACCTTGGATGTATTTTTTTTGCATTTTCTTATGCCTATTACACATTTTTCCTCTATACTTGTGTTTGTTGGGTGAAGTCACAAAAAATACACACATTTTTCCCTGTTTGCTCCCATTACAACCAACTCAGCTCTTCAGATGCTCAGATTCAAAGTCATTGAACAACTTGGTTACCCTAAACTGGGATTCACAGTATTTAGTGAAAACATATGTGTCTCATTTTCATACTTAGTATTTTCACACTTTATTTCTTGCAAATCCATGCACTGGATAGCACAGAAAGAAAAAGAGAGATTACATATCAGTTTATGTTGACATGTCTCTCAAAGAACAAGCACATATGTGACCTTTGAGTCTGTACCTAATAAGCTCTTGGCTACACATGTATATCTGCCAGAGTCAGAAGCTGTGGGCCTCTGGATGATTAGTGTGCCCTGAGGATGGAGTAGCTCACTTCCCATAGGTCGTCCCTGCTCTGCTGCTGACAAAACAGAACGATTTGGAAGTTTCCAGGAGATTTCTGGCTTTGGAATCCCAGTGGCAGCACAGTTAAGTTTGATTGGTGTCCCCATCATTGTCCTCACACTAGGAGGTAACCCTGTGGTGATCCTTGGAGGATAACCAATAACTATAACAGGGATAGTAAGAGCTGCCTCCCCAACATTGTTACGAACTCTGCAGTTGTAGTTTCCTCTGTCATGGAGAGTAGCTTCCTGCACAATTAGAGTGCCATTCTCTAGCAGATGGTACCGCCCAAGTTTTTGAGGCTGGGTAAGCGTGTGACCACCAGGAATAGTCCAGTAAACTCTGGGTCTTGGACTCCCATCTGATAAACAATGAAGGAACAGGGGTTCTCCAAACATACCACGTATAATACCCTTAGGTCTGGTAAGGATGTAAGGTTTCTGCCCAATGTTCAACATTATTAACTTCTCTATATAGCCCTGGGAATTTTTGGCCCCACAACGATACTTCCCAGAATCTTCTTCATGAGAGTTGTAGATGACTAAAGTCCCATCATTGCGCAGTTCATGGCGAGAACCAAGTTTGGATCCAATGGTAATTCTTGTTCCATTAGGCAAAATCAAAATTACTTCTGGCATTGGATATCCATCAGCAGAACAATTCAGAACTGTAGTTTTTCCGACCCCAGACACAAGACGTTCATTAAAAGGGTTTTTGAAGATTGGCCTCTGAAGCATACTGGTAACCTCCAGTTGCACCATCATTACTGCCTCACCCCCATCATTTCTTGCCAAGCAAATGAATTCTGCTGTATCTGTAGGCCGCACATTATGGATCTCTAGTGTCCCATTTCTGTGAACATTGATCCTGCTGCCAAAATATGGTGCGGTTAAAAATATATTATCAGGCATAATCCAGGTGACAGATGGAGTGGGTTCCCCTTCAGCCTTGCAGTCTATAAGTTTCCTGGAGTGTTTCTTGGCCACATCTTTAATTACAGTTCTATTCTGATGGTAGCCATTGATGACTGGTGGGTTCCCATCTATATCCAATTTATAAACTTTTTTGTTTTCTCCACCAGGATTGCGAGCCATACATACATATTCCCCTGCATCAGTTATCTTCACATTCTTGATATCAAGAGAACCATTGACATGGAACAAGTAGCGTTCATTTGATGCTACTATTACATCATTGTTAGAAAGCCTCCATAGGATCATGGGTTTTGGCTCTCCAAACGCTTCACAGTCAAAGCGAATACTACCTCCAGGTTTCACCCTGGCATAGGTCTGGCTTGGTGATCGTATCTTTGGAGGAGTTGTCATCACATCGATATGTACATGCATCTCGTCTTTTCCGACCTGGTTCTCCGCATAACAGGTGTAGTCTCCTTCTTCAGATGTGCTAACCTAAAAACAAACAAAACGTGTTAAACTAAATATGTATTAAAAGACATGGTTAATGCAATGATTTACCTGATTAAGATAAAGAGTCCCATTGTCAAACAAGGTATAGCGACGGGTTCGTCCTCCTCCTATACCAGCATCAGACTGCATAGCACTGTTGACTACTGTACCATCTGGTAGACCCCAGGAGATCTCTGGTTTAGGGGCCCCTGAGGCTTTACAATCCACTTTCAAGTCTTTGCCAAAGGGTATTTGCTTCTTTCTATTGAGCTTAGACTCTATTTTGGCCGGCTTCATTGATACTGTGACCCTCATGAGCTGAAGATCATCGCCAATTGTGCTTCGGGCTACACAGATATAGTTTCCAGCATCTTTATCGCTTACTGAATTAACAGCAAGCGTGCCATTATCCAAGACTTGTATTCTGCTACCCATTCTGGAAAAATGCATGACATACATTAAGTAGCATATTGTAGAAGAGACATGAACATTATATGGTTGTGCTGGTAAAATCTTTTGAAGGGGTTAATATTTAATCAGTCCTTCATTTGTAAAACGCATACATTTAGTTTGCAAGGCTACAAAGTTTGTTATGTAAAATTTAGTTTCTGTACAGATCCTTAACATTACAATAATACAGAAAGGTTAAACTTTTATATATTTTAATAAAGCTTACATATTTGTTGTACATTCCTTTATTTACTGTTCCATGTATTAATGCCACTTAGTTGATTTTTTTACCTTTGACCTTGCTCAACAACAGCTTTTGATGGTAGCTTCCATATGATCCTCGGTTCAGGGTCTCCTGTTGCTAAACAATTAAGTCTTAATTGATCCCCATAAGACAACTCTGTCATGGTTTGAGATGTCTTCACTATCTGGGGTGCAGAGTCTTGACTTTCAATTATCAGAGTCACCACCCTTCGCTCTGAACCAGTTGAGCTGGTAGCAATACATTCATATTTCCCATTTTCTGCTGGAGTCACATCTTTTAAGAACAGTGTTCCATTATCATGGACTGAAATTCTTTTTTCACTGGCCTGTTTATGAGGCTGAATTATTGATCCATCATGTAGGACCCAGTGAATAGTCGGCTGTGGGATGCCATGGCCGGTGCAAGGGAGCCACACATTCTGGGTCAAACTAGCTTTCAGCTGTTGACGTTTTTCCTCAACAATTCCTGGTGGTGCCGCAACTACCTGTAGTCGTACTGTAGCGGTATCAGCTCCTGCTGGATTACTGGCAATACATTTGTAATAGCCTCTGTCATAAACAGACACATGTTCAATAATCAGAGTCCCTTCAGAGATTACTGATACCCTTCCTCTCTCAGTGTTTTGCCCCCTTAGTTGAGTCCGGTTTGCTAAGATCCAAGAAATCATAGGCTTAGGTCGGCCTTCAGCTTTACAGTCCAGCTCGACTTTGTTTCCTGTGTAAACCTTCATCTCTCTCAGTTTGGGCTCCAGGATGCGTGAGGGGTAGGCTACCACTGAGAGGGTGATGAGAAGTTTGTCTGATCCATAATCATTTTCAGCAAGACAGAGATACTGGCCACGGTCTTTAATGTTGGCATTCTGGATGGTCAAGGTGCCATTGCTCAACACCTCAAACTTTCCCATTCTTTTCTTGATCAAAGTTATGTCTCCTAAGGGACAAAAAGACCAACAAAAAAAAACCATGAACGTCACCTTAAGATATTCTTACTCTATATCGAGACAAAATACTCACTGAAAACAATTGAACAAACACCCTGTCACTAAATACGTATCGCCATAGTTTTTTATGGCACTTTAAGAATAACAATTTGCTTTAAGAATAATAATTTGCTATGCGTAGAATTACTAAATAATGCTCATAAACACACCTGAAAAATGCTTTTACTACATGACTGAATGTATTTTTTGCCATGCAGCTGAGAATGTCCTTATTTTAGTTTATTTTTTCCCAATATAAAATAATGACATTTGTCATACCTGTGGTTGAAGAGAAGCGTTTCCAGGTTATAACTGGCTGTGGGTTTCCAGCAGCCTCACATGGTAGGAAAGCATCTGAATTAGACAAAACAGTAAAGCTTGCTGCATTTCCCCCAATTATTCGAGGCTTGCTTGGCATAGGCTTTGCTGTGGGTTTTAGTGGAGCAGTTTTAGGACTGTTTGCTTTATTGCCAATTAAGTGATTGTAAGTAGAAAAAATAGTTTTATGAATTCCTTTGCTGTATGGAGAACCAATATCATGTCCTTTCTCTGTCATAAAGATGGTCGTTGATTCAAAGTCAATGGATTTATCTGCACTGCCTCTGTCATTGTTACTTTCCACAGTAGGTTTGATTCTCCTCATGGGTGATCTGCGAGTGGTGTTACTATTATTGCTATATAATGATGGGATAATTCTGCTGTGGACTCTGGTCTGAGCAGTTGTATATGAGTGTTTTTTGACAGTTGGCATTACTGTAGTACTAGGGATATATTTTGATAAAGTAATAAAAGGAGTATTGGCAAATAAACCACTAGATGACCTGTCAAATTCACTATACAAATCAATCTCTTTTGATATTTGATCAATGGAAACAGGTACTGTGTTTCTGTCCTTTTTCTTGGATGGTGGATACATGGCATTGTTAAAGACAGACTGTTGAGCTTGTGTGGTTTCCTCTATTATATTTTCTTTTGTTGAAACATTTGTAGTTGTAGCCACAGTTGTTCTAGACTTAAGTTTTGTGAGTTCAGGTTTTCTGAAGGGCCCCCTGCCCCGATAGGGCCTCCTTCTTCTCCCCTGTTGTCGCCTTGTCCCACCAAGTCTTTGTCTGATTACAAGCAAATGATCAGGTATTCCGCCAGACCCCGATGATAAGGTTTCATCATGAATTTCAACTGAATGTTGTTTAACTGTAGGTGGAGAAGGCAGAGATGGTATTTCAAGTGGTTTTTCAGTGGTGGTGGAAGACCTAGTGTAATCAGATGAACTTGTGGTAGTTTTAGGATGAAAGCTGGGACCTTGTGTTGTAAACTCAAAGTCTGTAGATGCTAAACCTCCAGAGTCGTCATCTCCTGAGCTCTCTTTGCTTTGTGTGAGTGTGGGTGGTTTCAGATTCTCAAGTATGGCTGGTGAATATGTGCTGGTGGTGTATACAGTAGCAGGGGTTAGGGTTACTGGTATAGTTTGAAGTGTAGTTGAGCTTTTTGGTGGAATGGATGGCCTCTTTAACCTGCTTAGTATCCTTTCTCTTTCTCCACTTCCAAATAACCTGTTCCATGGAATTCTTCCATGAATAACCTTAGATGTCCTTGTAGTAGATGCACTGGTAATGGGTAGCATTGTTTTTGAAGTAAAAAATGAATCAATACTAGGGTTAATTTCAGGGACATCAGCAGATTTTATATACTCAGTGGAAACCTCTGAACTAGACTCAGTATGACTGAAGGGTCTTTTTGAAGTGGTGTGGATTGGAGCAGAAGTTGCAGTTTCTCGTGTAGATATAGGTTTCTCAGTTTTACTTGGAAATGGATTGGTGGAAGCTGGTAGAGTAATGAGTTGCACCTTAGCAGTCACTGCCCTACTTTTGTGTTCATCACCGTCACAGTCTAAGAAAAATGAGAATATGCACATATTAATAATTGTATTCATACTTTGTATATTAGATATTGCAACTTATAAACAGGCACAAAGCAAATTGTGTCTGACTATAGATCAACTCACTTGTGGTTAAGTAAACTGGAACTGGCACAGAGGTGTTTTCTGCCTTCTTTAAAGTTGGCTTTTTAAACCGGTTGATGAATGATTGTATATCAGTAATCCTGATGGGTTTAACAATTTTCCTGCGACCATGTAAAGTCCTCCTACCGCTTTTTTGTCTGCTGTTCTTGTGTGGAATTATTTGTATCTGCTGTTGGGAGATGATCGTGGATCCCGCAGAAAGCTGTGGAGATTTTATTGTTTGGGTAGTGTGGAAAGTGACTCTGTTCTGCTGTTTTCCTGTGGTGGTGATTGCAGTGAATGTAGTCCGGCTTTCTGGGTCTGTGTGGATTATGAGCTCCACCGGGCCTGGGTCATCACTTACTGAAGAAATGTTGGGGTCTGTAGGTAAAGACAGTGCTGATCCTGTGGATGTCTCTGTCTCTGTAGATTGTTCTCCTGAAAAACTGAGTTGTGTTTCATGTACAGTCTCTGTCGTTGCATGGTTTAGAGGGACTGAATCCATATTTGGAAGTAGCTTGCTGTTTCTTTCAAGTGCATAAAGCTCTGTTGTCTCAACATGACTCGGCAGGTGTGGGAATATAGGCTTTATTGATATAGTATCTGCCGGCACTAATGTTTCTGTTGTTGGAGCGTTTGGCTTTTCTTTAATTTTACTTGAAAAAATGTCATGACTGAATGCATTTATGTCATCAAACTGCTGTATCTTTGTTGTTGCTAAAAAATCTGACTCTCTTTTATGAGTGATTGTTATTTTTTCTTTGGTTGAATTGACTTTCAATGGCACAACAATGAGATGTTCTTCTTTATGATCTTCCCCAGAGCCTATTTCATCATAACCTAAAGAAACTGTATGATTTATCCTCTCGTTTATTGTGCTAGACTTTAATCTTGATCCATCATGAGCTTTTTTCATATACTGAGCAAACTTCTGTGGGTCTACTCTTCTTGAAGTTTTATCAAAGACCCTACTATGCCAGATGGGTCTGCTGCGAACTGCTCCCTTTCTTCTCTGTCCCAGTACACTCGGAAGAGTTCCTCTGCCCTGTGATCTCAGCCTCGGATAAGGGCGATCTGAAGTGATAGTCCTGGACTCCTGCCTAGTTCCCTCAGCAGGATTTGAGGAGGCAATTTCTGTAAGGTTGACTGTATGTTCTGCCAAGCTAGAGTCCATATTTACTTCTGTTATCATTCCTGATCCCTCAGTGTCCAAAACTGTTGCAGCATCAAGCTTTTCTTTGGAAAGTGTCACCTGAGACACAAGTAGGTCAACTCCCAGGTAATTAGCAACCAAACACCTATAAAATCCTCGATCCCTTTCTGTTAACCCTTGTACCAACAGTGTCCCATTTTTGAACATCTTCTTATTCCCTTGAGACTTCTCTAGCACTGAGTGGTCAGGGAGTATCCATGAAATTGAGACCTCAGGACTTCCAAAGGAGCTGCAGTCAAATACAAGATTTTCATCAATTGACTTTGAGAGGTGGAGACCGTTAACCTCAAACTCTTCCACATCAGGAGAAAGAACTGTTATTCGAAAAATGAGGATATCTGCGTCCAAGTAGTTTGTAGCAATACACCAATAGAGACCAGTGTCAGAAGTATCTGCATGTCGAAGAGTTAGCATCCCATCAGCAGAGATTATGATCCTTCTGTCCCCACTGGAATAAGGAGCTCGGATCTTACTTCCATCTGGCAAAATCCACTCCAGTAGAGGCTTTGGTTCACCCTGGATTTGACAGCTCAACTGTGCCACACCACCTAGGTTTAAAAGTAAATAGATGTTTACAGACATTTTAGGTTTCTTGCATTGTCATAAATATATGACAATTTTAATTTTTAAACTTTGAAATTGTCCATTTTTAAACTTCAGTGATGCACGTTGTGGAAAGTGCAAAGTAAGTAAATAATAGGCAGCTCTCACGAGTGATCAGCCTGTTTGTTAAAAATTACCTTTGATTCTCACCTGTAATAACAGTGTGCTCAGTCTTCGTTTGATTGTCTCGTTTGATCATGGTCCAGGAATAACGATCCTTTTTAGACGGTGTGCTTTCAACATGTAGTTTGACTAGAGACTGGTACTTAATATGCAGAGTCGAATAGGTGGTAGTAGTGCGATCAAGCTGTAGGCTCATGTTCCCTTGCATTAACCATGCTGGAGTGGCTTTAATCTCAGCCTCAATGTTTGTGGTAATTTCTTCCTCTCCATCTTTTATCTGACTATATCTGTAAACCATTTCAGGTGTTCTGGATAGCATTAAACCTCTTTCTAGCCTCATAGGAGAGTCACTGTAGGTGGCCAGGATCTGCCACAGCTGTTGGATGTGGTCGTAGTCCGTGTTACACACTAAATATGTAGTTATGCCAGTGATAAGCATGGTTACATTGTTTTCTTCCTCCATGATTTGAGTCAAGTTTTCAAAAGCACTGGGCCTCTGGACGGTGCAGGATAGACTGGCATCGTTGCGAAACTCATCAGTCAATTTAATTTGTATAGAGCCTAAAGGAGCAATAAAATCCTTAGAGGAAACCGGAGTGAAGTCTCCTTCCTCCAGACTTATGTTTTTCTGTTTTAGATGGGGTTCGATCCAGGGTCTGGCACAAGTAAAGGCATTATCGTAGAGCTGGGACTCAGATCTGTTATGGTAAGGGGCAGGATTTTCACAAACAGGACACAGCTGGCCTCTTGGATATCTCCTGTCTTGCTTGCATTTTAGCACACCTGGAAACAATTACCAAGTGGTGTAGAGTTTAGTTGGCTATGGGGAGGCAAAGAACATTTACAGTTTTCACATTCTAGGCCAGCCAAATCAAAATTTGACAGTAGAACAACCAGAAAAGATTATCTCCATGGTGCAAAACAAATGAATTATGAGTTCACTTTTTCAAAAGCCAAGTAAGGAAAAAAAAAGTATAAATTTTGTTGTTCTATGTCTTTGGTCTTTAATGTTTTCTAAAGCTTATATAAAGAAGCTTAATATATTTTTTCCTGGTGTAAAATCACGTGCACTATAAATTTTAAGAAAAATGCCTTTTAAATGATTCACAAATGTGACCAAAATCATCTGTTACATTGCTGACTTGGCACTTTATTTGTATAAACATTCATTTTTTTACAAAGAACGTACAGTATTATCAAAGCTTTAAACCATGTTAGATCTAAACATATCTTCAATACACACATACACTACTCACCAGCGTGCGTCTGTTCCCACAATGAGAACCATTTCATACGACAATCACACTTCCAAGGGTTGCCGTGGAGAAAAAGGTTCTCCAAATGACTGCAGCCGGAGAAAATATCTGCAGGCAGAGTGGTCAGGAGATTGTCTGACAAGTGGATGGTTCTTAATGAGGACACTTCAAAAACTTGGCTGTATCGCAGCGTGACAAATGTGTCTGCGTGGAGCTGCTGGAGCTGGTTGCCCTCCAAATGGACCAGTTGCAGCTTGGTTAAGCCATAAAAAGCTTCGGGGCTGATAAATTCTATGTGATTGTGGTCCAAGTGGAGTCTCAGTAGACTATCCAGGCCTTTAAATGTCTCCTTGTGGATTACTTTTATTTTGTTTTGTGACATCTTTAGGACCTGTGACAAAACAGTAAAAGAAAATTACTTTGTACTCTTAAATGAGAACTCAACGTATAAAAATGCACTTTTTGGGGGATGATGTCATCAATTGTATTCCAGTTATTTATCTAGCCTGAAAAGGTGTCCAGAGTATGTTACTTAACCTTTGACATTAAATAAATGATGAAATATATATATATATACTTTTACTAGAAATATCATAAAATAATCCTCTCCTTCTAAATGTCGTAGGTTGTTCCCATACCCTAGAGGAATCAAAGAAAGTCTGTTTTATACATTATAATGGCAAAAAAAAGTATAATACTAGAACTGAACAAAGAAACATCTGTCAGTCCCATGGAGTTCATCATCACACTACATGTATGAATATAATATGTTTTTCTATATTTGTTATTCAACCTTTATTTAAACAGGTTAGTCCCATTGAGCCACAAGGAATCATTTACAAGATAGATTTGTGTCACAAGTACAAAATGTTGAGCTAAATGAGCTCTGCCCTATGATATGGATGGCTGCAAATTAATTTAATTGTTTTCAATAAAATTAAAGATTATTTTTCAAAACAAACTAAACAAACATAAAACCTGTAAGTTTACCTGTAAAGACTTGAGGTCTCTGAAGGTTCTGTCTTCAACTCTGTGTATAGTGTTGCTGTGCAGCATCAACAGCTCCAACTTCTCAAGCCCAGAAAAATCAGTTTCTCTCAAGGAAGTGATACCATTGTACCTTATAGCCAAGAAAAAAAAAGTATATATTTTTATTATATCAAATATACATTTCAGCTCAATTTAATTACTACATTTTTTGCTGAATGTGGTGCCTCAACAGATATTAACAAAAAAATTCAACATTTTATTTTAAGTCCTAAACAAGGAACTCTTCAAAACATCTTGTCAGGTTGAGGCTGGGCAGGCCTAGTTGGTAAATGGTCAAGAATGCAACCAAAATGAGTAACCCAGCTAAGAACTGGCAAGAGTTGAAGGACTGTCACGTGTAAAATATCTTACTCTGCAAATTGTTGGAGTCAGATGTGTATTTTTTGCTGTATTTTTGGCCATGTTTTGTTTGATTTTGTGGTTCTTTTATGGTCTTGGTTTTATTTATTCTTGAGGTCCCTCAGTGTGTTTACCAGTTTGTTTATGTAAATCGTCTCATTTCTTCTTTTTTTTTTCTTTTTGCTTTCTTTTCACAACTGGGCCTGATTTCTGATCATCACAATGTGTCAATCATTTTCTTCACTCAGTATACATTTTGTAATGTCTTCAGTTACTATTTATAAAATCCTCATGATTTTTTCTCTCTTTTTTTTTGTTGTTGTTTATTTAGTTTTGGTATTATTTGTCTATCTGGACTACCTTTTATTTATCATGTAAACAAAATCATTAGATTTCACAATCAACATACTTATCCTGATGCATGCTCAATAATCCAGGTAGAAAAATCCAAAAAAGTTCAATCTGGTCCTCTGGACATTCAAAATAAACAAAAAACAAAACAAAGCAAAAAATATAGAAACGTTTCGTCTCTCATCCAAGAGACTTCCTCAGTCTGAGGTGCTGTATTCAGCTCAGTCTCTTAAATAGCACCTTCTCAGAGTGGATCAACCAGTTTGCTGCTGACAACCAAAACCAGCTGATCACATGCTCAAGAAGGACCATCAGCCTAACAGTGGATCATTAGCACACTAGTGTGCTAATGATCCACTGAGCTGAATACAACACCTCAGACTGAGGAAGTCTCTTGGATGAGAGACGAAACGTTTCTATATTTTTTTGCTTTGTTTTGTTTTTTGTTTATTTTGAATGTCCAGAGGACCAGATTGAACTTTTTTGGAATCAACATACTTGTTGCCTCCTTGCTTTGCATTTGTGTCAATTTCTCAACAAAAAATAGGAGAAAACATCTCTCTAGCTAATTTGCACAAGAGTATTGTTTTCAATAGTACTTAAAAGTACTGAATTGCAATAGTACTGACAAAAAGTTCAAGTTCTGTTTATTTGTCATATGCAAGGTTAGCACAAGATTAACACAAGGTTAACAGTACAATGAAATGCTTAGGATGAGAAGAACCGATTTACTGGACATGGCAGAAATGAACATGTTGAGGTTCTCCTTAGGAGTGACAAGCATGGATGAGATTAGGAATGAGATCATCAGAGGTACAGCACAGGTTGAACAACTGGGAGATAAAGTTAGAGCTGCCAGACTGAGATGGTTTGGACATGTCCAGAGGAGGGACAGGGGGTATATTGGTAGAAGGATGTTAGAAATGCAGCTGGCAGGAAAAAAACAGAGGAGATATATGGATGCAGTTAGAGAGGACATGAAGGTCGTTGGAGTGAGGACAGAGGATGCAGAGGACAGAGTGAGATGGAGGATGACTCGCTGTGGCGACCCCTGAAGAGGGAGAAGCCAAAAGAAGAAGTACTGAATTATCTATTGTAGGAAATTTACATAAAATATTGATCTTTCTCCAAGGCCCTGCACTATACTGGTTCAAGGCTTACCTGGCAAGACCTCTTTAATCTTCAAGGAATCTGTTTCCACCTTAGTTTCCAACTCACTGCCTCACCCCACCTATACAGTTCCTCTAGGAGGTATCCTTGGCTCCATTTTATTTTCCACTTTACATGCTCCCCTTAGGCTCCATCTTTAGAAAGTTTAACATGTCTTTTAACTTCTATGCAGAATCACATTTACCGACAGTCAAAGAGTAATTGTTCTTTTTTTAAATCCACTGTTTAACTGGTCTCACTGAGGTAAAAGCTCGGATGGATGACCAACATTTCTAAATTTCAGCGAGTATAAAACTGAAGTTATTTTTTGCACCTAGTGGAAACACCAGCATTTCTCCTACAGATCTGGGTAACCTGGTGCCATTTTTAAAATTTCATGTACAACATCTGGAGGCGGTATTTGAATCAGATTTTAAGCTTGTAGTAAAAAAATTATAATAACCTGCTTATAAATTGAAGCTTTTATATAAAGTGAAAACACTGTAATATTTTAATGACTGAATGAATGATTCACATTTTCCTGTTCTCCCAACTGGATTGTTTTAAAATTGTGTATGTTGGTTTTAACCAGGCCAGCCTCTCATGACGGCCATTAGTTCAAAATCATTCAACTTTTCTTATAAAACAAAGAAAAAAAAAACTTGGAACACATCTCGCTGGTGCTGGCTTCCTTTCAATCACTCTCTTTTTAATTTAAAATAAATTAATAATTCTATTGTTGACTTATAAGGCCCTTAATTGCCAGGCTCTTTTATATTTATCTTATCTCGTACACCTTGTGTTGTAGGGTTTGTACCCAAATTCAGAATGGCATGAACAGCTCAAAGGCTAAAAAATATATAAAAAAAATAAAAATATAATAACAATAATAATAATTAAAGCAAAGCAAAAGGCTGACATGGCAGCAAAAGTAACTAATAAAAAAACAAATGATCACAGGGCAAAAAAAAAAATTTGGAAGAAAACACAAACCTAGATGCCAAATATTGCTGAACTGGTGAATGTAGAACAGAGACTGAATAAATAGAACAGAGATCAATGGGAAATAGAAACACCTGTGATGATTGCTGATTTGGAACAGGTGAGGGTGGTAGATTAATGGGAAAAACACAGAGGAAACAGACTGAGGGTAAATGGGAAATGGCACAAAGAGGACTGGGAAACAGAAACGAGACCTGCACAAGAATAGTAAATAAACATAATAATGAAGTACAAAAACACAAATGTATAAGGATCTAAACTGATGGGTAAACACAAATAACAAAACCCTAAAGATGGACAAATAGAACATAAATCATCAAAGAAATAAGAGTAAGATAAACTCAAGGAACTAAATAAATAAACAAAACAACAGACGACGGTGTGTGCCCTACAGATCTCTTGATTGATTTTACTTGTGCCAACATCCAGGCTGGTCCACAGAGATAAATGGTCTTTAATCTGCCCAACCTGTCCCTTCATATTAAACATGCCTCAACTTGCTGGCTCATCCTAAAACACAGTTTTATTCACAGACATCTAATACAGCTTAAGAGATTTTTTTTTTCCCGCTCCATTTTATTGGTTTTATTTGTGTCTTGTCATGTTTGAATTGTTTCTGTTTTATTAACTACTGATGTAGAACTATTGTGTTGTGTGTAACAATTTGGCGAAGTTTTTAAATGTGCTCAACAAATAACTTTAATTTTCTTTATTTAATTTTGGAGATCCTAATTGGGATGTAAGGATGAGACAAAATCCACTACTAATCATGAATTCATTTTGTGTTTCTAACGGTTGTCTATATAAATCAAACCATTATGTAGTTTCATTGTTTAATAAATCTATTTATTAAATAAAAAATGTTCACTTTGTATTACAAGCTTCAGGAAAAGACTCTGGCTTGAAGTGTCAAACTGTTTAAGTTGAACCTCCCTGACAGGTAACAACAGGCAAGGCTCTACAAGAACACATTGTCCCGAGGGTGTGATTATAATGAAACTAGCAAATTCATTTCAATAAAATAATAAAAAAAGAACAACATCTTTTTTATATATATTTTTTTGCATTTATTCTTGTATTTATTTGTACTTGTCCTAATTTAAAAAGCACAGGTGTTACGAACAACACCTGGCCTTGTCTCGCTGTGAAATAACAAGATCTTTAGTATTCAGGCAAAGCATCCAATCACATCAGTTTGTAGTTATAACTGGCTTAGAAAGGGGTCAAATCAGTCTTCAGAGCAGATGGAGAACTATTTTTGTAGATTTAAAAAAAAAAATCTAAAATATTAAAACATGATTCACAAGGTATAAATGCTTTCCAACCATCGGTCATGTCTAGTAACTCGATTAACAAGAGAAGCATTTCTTGTAAGTTCCACGAGGACTTTAAATATATGAGTTTAATATAGTCTCTGGGTGCTTGTTTGCACTTGCAAAGGGAAAGACAAAAAGCACTTTTTACAAGCCTCCGGGAGTCTGGCTCAAGTGTGCACAAAACAAGAACACTCCTTTCTATTCACTGGGAGGCATATCAGAGTGGAAAATTTTTCTTAAGTGTTTTAAACTGGTAGTCTGATCAATTTTGAAGTGATGTTTTGTCAAATAATTATCAATAGTTAGTACCTTATCAGCCAAGACACAAGTTTTGGAGCAAAGAGTTTGAAGAAAACAGCAGAAATCTTTGTTTAGGCTTAGCTAATGGTTAACCAAATGAGTGTTGTTTTATATCAGAATTGGTTTTAGATGTTTAAAAGAATGTAAAAAAAAAAAAGTCCAGCATGAAATAAAGCTACATTACTAAATATTAAACCTCTGACATTTTGCTTGACACCACAAGTTAAGTTTGTGGCTTTTTTCTTGTGAACTGATACATTTATTAAAGTAGCCAGATGAAGAATTTTGCCCTTTTCTGCATTCAACGTTCAAGGTTCAAGATTTTTTGTCATTCGCATCCCATGTGGTACATGAGGTGGAACAAAATTGTGTACTCAGGGTCCCAGTTACACCCCAAAATAGCAAAAATATGAAGTATAAAAATAAACAGTATTTAAGGATCTAAGATATACTCTAAGATATACACTAAACGGATGCTAAAAGATCCAAGATATACGTCAAACAGTAATAATGTAAAATAATACGTTATATTAAACAGCAGCCCAAACATGAGTCTGTGGTGAGCAGATGGGAATGAAAACCGCAGCTTAAAGGCAACAGATCAGCAGCATGGATAATCAGCAGTACAGATAAGTCACATATCACCAATTAAAGTGGCATTACAATGATTATTCTGGTTAGAGATTCATGAGTCTAACAGCTTCAGGGTAGAAGCTGTTCTTCAGTCTAGTGGTTCTGCACTTAATGCTCCTCAACCTCCTACCTGAGGGGAGCGGGGCAAAAAGTTTGTGTGCTGGGTGAGCGGGATCCTTCATGATGCAGGTGGCCATCTTCCTGCATATGGAGGTTTAGATGTCTGTGATGGTGGGGAGACCGACTCCAACAGACTTCTGTGCAGCTTTCACCACTCTCTGCAAAGCTTTTCTTTCTGCAGCTGTACAGCCACGTTGATGCTGGAGCACAGGATGCTCTCCACTGTACACCTGTAGAAGGAGGTGAGGACTGAGCTTCCCAGTCCAGCTCGTCTCAGTCGCCTTAGGAAGTAGAGTCTCTGATGAGCTTTCTTGATCAGGCTGGTGGTGTTGTTGCTTCATCTTAGGTTGTCGTTCAGGTGCACACCCAAGTACTTGTAGCTGGAGACCACTTCCACCGCAGATTCTCCTATGTTCAGGGGAGGTGGGGAGGTGTGCTTACTCCTTCTGAAATCCACAAATATCTCCTTTGTTTTCTTCACATTGATGTGATTGATTGAATGTTGTTCTTCCTGCACCAGCTCTCCAGGTGTTCCACCTCCTGCCTGTAGCTGGACTCATCATTGTTTGTGATACATCCAACCACTTATCATCTGCAAACTTTACAATAAGGCAGCCTGGATGGGTAGGTGTGTAGTCATATGTGAGCAGAGTGAACAGAAGGGGGCTCAACACACAGCCCTGAGTGGAGCCAGTGCTGAAGGTTATAGTGGAGGATGAGAAGGTGTGGATCCTCACACTGCGGCCTGTTGGTTAAAATATCCAGAACCCCAGTTGCATAGGGAAGGGCTTAGTCTTGGTGTGAGTAGTTTATCCATCAGGGTCTGGGGAATCATGGTGTTGAAGGTAAATGTGAAGTCCACATAGGTAGTAGGAGTCCTTCTGCTCCAGGCTCAGTGTTCTTTGACTGATGTTACGACAAATGAGGCGCAAACTACTGATAACTATTTGAAAGAAACATCACTTCAAAAATGACTAGTCATTCCCTTTAAAAATTACTTTTAAAAATGCTCTGCATTAACCTGTCAAGCTAGCCATCAGCTAAAGCAAACGTTACTTGTTCCCAGAGCTTGAGTCAATGTTAGCATGTTTATTAAAATGAAATATTTATTTAAATAGTTTAAAAATGTTAAAAGTATTCTACTACTGAAGGAACATTTTAACATTTTCATTTTATTTTGGACCAGTTAACATAAAATCCAGTAGCTAACAGTAGTTTCTTTATAATGCTGTTATTATTAAGTTACTTGTCGTCTGTGTTTAAAACTACAGGCTGGCTATGGTTTATATATCAGCCAGTGTAATTACTCTTTTCTGATAGTTTGCAGCTGCACAGTTTATTAAAACCTGGAAAGTAACTCACCCAAGGTTTATTCTTTCCACAGATGGTGAGAAGTGGTCAGGTACTGTGGTCAGGTATTTGAAGGTGCAGTGCACTTCAGTGGCAACATGACAGACGCATGATCTGGGGCATTTGGCATACGAGAGCTGCACAGCAGGCAGCACCATCAGAACCATGAACAACCACCACCGCAGGTATGAAGGTCTGCTGTTAGACACACTCATTGTGCACGGGGCAATCATGTGGATGGGGCTTCAGTAAGACGATACTACACTTTTAGCAGAGCCATTGATGAAACCCACCTGGAGAGAGAGGTAAGTTAGTGCATTTCTTTTAAAATGGAGAATGTTGCCATGCACTTTACCTAAAGCGATTGTTCAGATGTTTTGTGGCAAGGTTACAAACAATATCTTACTTGCTGGAGATTATCTTTGAGAGACCTTACTTTGGAGAAACAGAGGTAAGTTTGAACATGATGTATGAATGAGCTAAGTAAACAGGGTTCAACACCAAAGTGAGTTGCCAACATCTTAACGTGCACTTCATGCAAACATCACTTTATATATTTTAGATTACTCTCAGTTTTATAAAACACAAGTATTTACATACATTTTTTTTTTTGTAAATGCAAAAAGCAGTTGTGAAAGTTGCTGTAGTACTTCTGATATTCCTGCTGAATTTACTGTGTGATGCAAAACTGAGCATTCAGACAAGCTGTTGGTTTGTCAATCCAGTCAGATATAAACTTTATTTTTCCAAACCGAGAACCTTAAAAAAGCTATCTACAGCAGGTAAAATAATAATTGTTCATAATCAATCCATGGAACCCCACTTCGAAAACTCTGAACTATATCTTTAAATAAAAATATTAAAATGACACTGTGAAATTGTACAATTTCAGCTAAACAAGCACAAATGTAAAAAATGTTATAAAATTTGGTACCACTTTACAATAAGGCTCCCCTTATAGATGCTAATAAATAGTTTATATATACATTATTACTTCCTTTATAAACACTTTATAAAACATTAGTAACTGCTTATGATGCATTTATTAAGGGAGACAGGGAGACAAAACTGACCAGTTCTTGCCAAATAGTGAGCCAAGTCTGTTCACCTATGTATTTCATCTATAGTTGTTAAACATTTCAGACTGTCACTACCTTGTAAGCATAATAAGCATTTGTAAACCTTTTTTTTTTTTTTAGGATATAATATTAGTTTTAAATACTTACAATACAGTGATAAAGGACAACATTATATGCTAAAGAAATAGGTTTACAAATGCTTATTGTGCTTATAACGTAGTGACAGTCTGAAATGTTTAATATAACAAAGCTAGATGAAATATATATAGGTGAACAGATTTGCCTCACTATTTGGCAAAAAAACTGGTCAGTTTTTGTCTCTTTCTCGCTCTTAATTAATGCTTAATAAGCAGTTGTTAATAAGTTATAAAGTCTTTATAGAGGAATTAATAACATATCTATAAACTATTAATTAGCCATCCTTATTGTAAAGGGGTACCAAAAAATTGAAAGTACCAATACAAAAGTGGCGACACGGTGGATCATTTGGTATAGCTGTTGCATCTCAGCGAGAAGGTCGCCGGTTCAAATCCCAGCCCGGGACATTTCTGGGTGGAGTTTGCATGTTATCTCCGTGCATGCATGGGTTTTCTCCAGGTACTCCAGTTTTCTCTGTGTGAGTGAGAGAATGAATGGTTGTTTGTCTCATTTGTCTCTATGTGGCCCTGTGATGGACTGGAGACCTGTCCTGTGTGTTCCCCGCCTTCCGCACAGTGACAGCTGGATATGGGCACCAGTGACCCCCGCGACCCAAAAAAAGGAAGAAGCGGGTAAAAATAATGGATGGATGGAATACAAAAGTGTAATAAATGTGTCTTCAGTGGCTGTTATGTATGACACCATTTAATAGTTTGTTTTTTATGCATGAAAGTTAAGAAGTTGCTAAAATGATTGTAAATGGTTGTTATTTATCATCATTATTATGAAACTGAATATTTTTGTTGATTTCATGTAAATTGTTGAGATGTTTACTGACAAACCATCTGATTTTCCATGCATTTTCATTTAATTTTTGTCCAGATGTCATGAACTATAAAGTGTAAACCACAGCTGTTTACATCTGATGTGTAGAAAAGAATTAGAAAGTTGCATTAAAAAAGTCCAAATGCTTCAATTCTGTTTTCTGAAGTGTGTAGCTGCATCCCAATCTGCTGAAGAACAGAGGATTACTAACACTCATGCAGCTGTGAAAACAAATTAAAATCTAAATTTTACATGCAAAACTTATGAAAAATATAAATTGTATTCATGCATTTCATTTCATTTCCTTTCAAAAGAGCTTAATGTAGTTTCTCTCACCTTAATTTCCCCGTCGCAGGAGGCAGACTTGCTTTGCATAAATCATGCAAAAATCCAAACTCAAATGTTTTCGTTCCACATTCAGTTGCAGTATTTTGTCCTGTTAGATGAGCAGTCCACTGTGAGTGAACAGCAGATCTGGGACCAGAGTCATTCCAGCCTTCGTGCCTACAGCTGTGTGCAAACTTCGGTCTTCTCCACCCCCAGCAATCTGCTGTAACACAATCCTGAAGCAACTCCGAAACACTCAAGGAGTCAAAGTGCATGAAAAAACACTCAGCTGACAGTGTTCAAGGCTAGTAAAAACACATAGTTTACTCCTTTGCTTGATTTATTGAGTGGAAAATCTGACACGTGTGCTAAGGTTTTACTAATAAAACCGTTTTGTTAAGAAGCAAAGAATCATTGAATAGTTATTAAAATTGCATTTGAACATTTTTTTTCATCTTTTTTTGGTTGATCTAGGTCTTTTCTAGTTATAACTACTTCTTAAATTCAGTTTGCATTTTTATGAACAGTGTTTTTATAAAGTGTACCAGAACCAAATTGTAACCTGATAATTTTTTTTACTTTGCCATGATGGACAAATGTGCTACAGATGATATGAACAGCAGATGACTTTGTTTAAATAAATGAATTTATAAATAACAATTTATTTTTATGATTTGTTGTGGTTTTATTTTTATAAATACTACAAATAAAACTGCATTGTTTTGCAGCTTGAGCTTTATCACTTGAAAATGGACAAAAGCCAAAGTTCTGTCATCCCCTTCACATTGTTACTGTTTGATTTCTTGACATGCTCATGCGTACAAGCACAAACACTTCTAAGCACGAATCACATCACATGAACAACATTCACATTTGCAGACACGTGTCATGGTACTTTAAAGTATTTCTTTTATATTTGATGTTATTTCAGTGGTAGTACTTGTTGAAGTTCCTATATTGAACAGATGTTGCATGTGACTAATTTACAACCAAGTCTGAGTTTGTGTTTAGTAATGAGACATGCAGAAATAATATAAAAAAGTAATTAAGTTCTGACTAATAAACAAATAACGAATACTGTGTGGTACTTGGCAACTGCCATAAAATCTGATGATCTGGATATGAAACAAATCAGAGTGCAGTCTGGTAATAATTTCTAGTTACATAACAAATTATTACCTTGTCACTAAGAAAACAATGTGTTTTTATACAAAAATGACCAAAAATAAATCTTCTTGTTTAAACCTTGTTTTTACAGCCTATTTTAAATAAATGGACTTGTGATTTATCAGTTACTTTAGGCCACAGGCAGTGCTGGCCAAGATGAGCTCTGGCTTGTGTTATTGATATTTATTTGCACATCTGGGTAACACACCAGCAGATGTTGACAACAGATTTATTTTTTCTGTAGTTTTCCCACACTCTCTTCTCTTCTAGCAACTTTTGTCCATCCATCGATCCATCCATCGATCCATCGATCCATCCATCGATCCATCCATCCATCCATCCATCCATCCATCCATCCATCCATCCATACATACATACATACATACATACATACATACATACATACATACAT